GCGTGTGTGTGTGTGTGTGTGTGTGTGTGCCTAGCAAGCATCGTCTCTGCCATGCAAGCAAGCAGACTCCCTTTCAAGATGTGGGTGCTTGCGTTGGGCAACCGCACTCACCTCGCTCGCATCTTTTCCTCGCCCATGCACCGCACCTTGCAGCACCACGCAGTCCTGCTCCCTCATCGTCTCCAGCGCACCTCTCAAATGCGCATCCCTGACCACCACCTGCACCTTTCCGCTCGCATCTCCCAAGTTGAAGAATAGCAGAGATTTGGAAAGGGGACGAATGGAAGAGATCCATCCTCGCAGTCTGACACTTTGAGAGAGGTGCGATGGTCGCAGAGTTCCGCATGCGTGAGTTGGAGGTGGGTATGCTATCAGGGGAAATGTGGGCGCTTGTGGGGAGAGGGGGCGGCGCGGCGGGGAGGAGAAAGAGGCGATAGAGGCGGCGCTTTGCGAAGAGGCAGAGGCGATGGACCGCGAAGAGCTGCAGCGGCATTGCGCAGGAGAGGCAAAGGGCGTGGAAGAGGGTGATGGGGCGGTGCTGTGACGTGGAAGAGGCGCAACTTTGCTTTTGCTCAAGTGCTTGTGCTTCTGGAATGGCAAGCCAGATGGAAGAAGCACTGCCCGCTCCACATGCCGGATCACAGCTCGAGGCGCTTGCAGACCAGCGCTCATGCTCCAGTTGCTGCGGTGAGGATGGCCGAGTCTGAGTGCTTGAGTGGCGCAGCAGCGTTCCGTACCTCGAGGCTGTTGCGAGAGATGCTGCGGGCGTACAAGATGGTGTGTGCAAGTCCCTGTAGTCAGCAGGCAATGTGCTCGAATCGTGAATGGCTCCAGCATCCCGCTCACCGCCATGCCATGCCAAATATGCAACTCGTGGCTTGTGACCTGACTCGGCGAGCGAGCGAGTGCATCGCATCGCATCGCATCCATCGCGTCTGTTGTGTTGTGTGTTGCGGATCTGCTGCGAAAGGCGCGAATGAAGCGCATCTCCGCGGAGGTCCGTGCGGCGTGCGCTGCTGCGATGAGAGCTGAGCTGGCCTTGGCCTTGGCCTGGCCTGGCCAACTTCATCAAACAGCATTCAGACTGCACTTCTCCAGTCACGAGTCACGAGTGCTTGAGCAGCTCTTGCTCTTGCTATGACCATCATCCAACGCAGGAAGGTTGAGTGAGCACACACGTTGCGAGTCATTCGCGCTTGCTTCTTCTCTTGTCCTGTCACACTCGTGACTCCGTGCACGCGCGCGCGATTCATAGTCAAAAGCTCAACGGGCATCGGTGTACCGCTTTGCTCCCAACCGCGTGCCAGCGTGCAGAGAGGCCAAGCAGAAGCAGTCCTCGCAAGCTTCACCTCCTCCATTCCCATCCTTGATAGCAGCAGCTCTGCGAGTCACGCCTTCAGCCTTCAGCGTGCTATTACTCCGCACACCTTCCACCGTCTGCGCTCTGGGCCACGCGCAGCTGTCACAATGTCCAAGCTGGGCATCTCATCAGGCTCTGCCTCAAACGTCTCCTCCACCAGCCAACTAGCTCGCACACCCTCCCCTTCCGCCGAGCGACTCACCGCAGGCAGTCAATTCCTTTCCGCTGGCGCCCCCGTCAGCTCAGCCAGCGTTTTTGCCAATGCACAGGGCGCAAACTCAGGGCCGAACTCCAACTCCGGAGCCAGCGTTCTGCTTGAAACGCTGGGAAGAAGACTGAGCAGCTTTGCTTACCTCAAGAGGACGCTCATCGGGTGCGTCGTTCTCCTTAGACAAAGAGCGGATTTGGATCGCTGACAGAATCTGCTTCACTGCTTGTAGAAAGAATGTCTGGCTTGGT